CTAATATTCAATGAGTTTAAACGTTGAAAATGAATCACTGGTGTTATTTTAATGTACTGGTTCCAACACTGGCACATCAAACTACTCCTATCTATGTATGAAGTTGCGCTAATAGGTTTTGAACCTTATTTCATTGTGACAAAGGAAGATTGTTTATAGGGGTTTTTTGTGTGTACATATTTATACCAACGTCGCTTATAATACTGGACGAAAATATTGTAAATGAGACGTTGATTGACATGTGTGAGTCTCCCAGTCAATGACACCGGCTTGGGTTTTGGCTCCTAAATATAGATTGAAGTTCTAGTTACTATGTACTCATGTGTCGTTTGTCATGAACCAACTGGAAATTATCACTACAGGTGACAAAAATGGTTCTTTTTATAATACAACCAATTTAATTTAAGCAAAATCGAATATAGACAGAATGAACACAGCGTTTCCGTAGTGTATAAAATTACTAAGATACAAACATTAATTTTGCTGTATCAATTTCGTAGTCAGTCTTCAACCATGCTTATTAAAATGTCGGAAAAGAAAACTTAAATCACCATGTCTTACTTTTTATACCGAAAGGAGAAATTATTTCCACTAACCAACTATTATTCAATAAAATAGCCCCAACTTTTCCTTATTACAATCTTATAACTATTAATTAAGAACAACGTTTAATTGAAATACTCTTACGTCATTAATTATACAATAAGTTTCCGATTTCCACATTCTAATGGAAAGAAATAAAATGAAACTTTACTATCCATTAAGTTTCATTTGTAGAAGTAGTGTATAAACTGTAATACAATATAGTCTGAAATGTTAATATTGTTATAAGACAATGCACTTACCGCTATTGCTATCGTTGCATTTAATATAATGGTACAATACCATCCTGAACACTTACCTAAATAGGTATAGAATGGACCTTTGTTTTCGTTCTTTATCTCCGCTAATTAAAATTAATTCGATACATCGTTCTTTTGGGAAACATTGAAACGGTATATGTAATAGAATATAAGCTCTTATTATTTTGTGAATAAACTCAGATATTTGATCTTGACGGTACTAAAGAGATAAGGCCTGCTCTTGAACTTTATCTTTATCATGAAATAAATATAGTCTTCTACATCTGTTCTCAAAAACTTTCACTTTCCTATCACTCAGCACATTGCACTACTCGTGTTTAATTAGCGTGATAATACACTTTGAGTATACCTTCTCATTTTATGATGTAAAAGTATTCGTTTCGAATATGAAATTACTGGTTTGGTTTGAATAGAACGTTTGCACAACCAATCATTTTGTTTATAACAAAAAATGTACTATAATACTAGATGTTTTTCGATGAATGTATAAATATGTCATCCTAAGTAACCTTTCACGTGTCTCGAAGATATTCAAATGCATGGGCATGGCCTTATCAAAGTTATCTATGTAGGTGACATTGCAGTCACATTACTTGTCCATAACGTGGTCTTTGTGGAGAAAACAATTTATTAACATGACGCTAAGATAAAAACTAAAGCAAACACAAGAAGATATATTAATATGTTGTCAGACAATAGTAAAATATTTGCCAAAAGAGAAATATTTGCTACACCAGCTGGAAAATTCATTATAACTAGTTAACCGTGAAATCTGAGACGTCAAGAGACCCAATTATGATCGAGTTGATTTCTAAACATCTGCTGTGATCGGTGAACGTCCTCGATCGTTGCTCCCCATCCATCAAGAAGTACTCCGCCATGCCGATGATGTTGCCGGTCTAGACGCACCGTCTCACTCCAATTACAATAATGGCCGGGTGCATCGCGAAATTCCATAACACTTTCACCACTGTAAGTGCCTTTGCTTTCATGTGCCTAATGGCTAGAGAGTATGCTCTTGTTTTATTGTTCAAAATGATTAATGTTTGCATTTTTTCGCTTCTCCATGTTACTCGGTGTTACGTCTGTTGATGAGATTATTTGTTCGTTACCTTACTCGAGAACTGTTATGAAACATTGTATGATACCATAACCAACGCTTTGTTTCATGTTAACATTTTACACGTTGTACAGTACATTTTTTCGTTATAGTAAAGTATGATTAATGTGTAACTATTAACTAGTCGTGTGGACCATTTGTCAAAATCTTCATAGAAATACAACTGAATCCTTAAAGATCCTTATTTTAACGTTATTTACAGCTTCCCCGAATGCTATTATTGCATCTTTAAAATCGTTAGCGGTTTACTTTTCGTCTTCGAAAACTAATATGCGTTCTATTTTAAGATTGTCACAGATCCAAATCCGTCATTTGTTCCCATACGTCTCCCTCTGTCACAACTTGGGTTTGGAAAAGGCACGAACCACGAACCTTACAGGGTTAGATGACAGAAACTATCAATTTAAGTCGCTACTGATTATTTTCGTATGTTTCGTGATTGTTCCTTGCCATTGAGTAATTGCTTTTTGGATTTATAAATGTTGCTTTTGTCAGGGTTTCAGTGTATTTATTCACGCTACGTTACTAACCAGATTAATCAATGCAAATGAGTTAAGCCGTTGTTAATCATTCAATTTGAAAGCCTGCAATGCTTTATTCAGTAACGGTTAATAGTGTACCATCTTTTGTTTCGTTTCAGTGTTTTAAAACTATAAAGTTTCCTTATTTGGGATTGTTCCGAAAACGGCAATTTCTTTTATAAATAAAAGGAAATAAATCTTGTTTCGTAATGTTATTTATTGCGATAGGTTTCCATAAATATGAAATTCTACATCCGCGAGGTATAATAAAGAGTTGCAAAACTGCAGTTGCCGGTGAGTTTCGACTCCCAACCTATTTGTGGGCTACGACCGTTTGGGTCGGGCACATTATCGTTACCTAGATTCGGGTTTTGCGGCCGCTTTATGCCTTTTACACGTGTACCAGCTTCAACGTAATCGTTCTAACCGTCTTGCTAATGTTTTCACTTACGCAACTCAAGTTCGACGACCTCACGGCTTTTGGTCAAATGTTTGTTTATGGTTTTTGTTGCATTTATGTCTCACCTTGAATGTTACGACTGTCTACCTTTTTTGTTAGCCGTTTATTGAGAAGCAATGGGTTTAATAAATTAATTGGTAGCGCCCACCATGGCAATTTGCAGATAGACCGTATTTAGTAAGCGCCTTGTTAGGTTTACGGCTTGACTCATCCAAGTAATCCATTTCTGTTTTCTTACATGGTTAGATGTAATAGCTGTTATTACTGCCTGTTGTTTAAAGCTTTGGTATGTGTATTCTATTTGCTTATCTGTGAAACTTTCAGAGAACTGATCTTTAGTGAAGGATTATATAACATCCTGTCCCTGTTTACCCTACGATGCAATCTTTAAGCCCTTGTGCATATTTGCTTGTTATTATAAGCACCTCTTGTTTTTCCGATCGACTTTTTACAGTAAACAAAACCGAAAATTGCTGTCGAATCATTTCAGAACTTAGTTTTTGCAACATCATCATTGATTTTCCGAAAGGGCTTCAGTCTGCGAAGTTGAGAGTCATTGAAATCCGTCAAAGTACCGGTCGGGAACTGGGTCGAGGGTGGTTGGAATAACTAGCGAGTTCTTAGCTTACTGGCTGCCTCTCTTAGCATTTCTGAGTCATATGGCTGTTGTGAGCACTTTGCTATGAAAACAAAGTCTTGGTAACGTTAATGACGTTTGAGTCCAAATAAATTCTCAATGAATTATGTTATCTAATCAAAATATGTCAAGGTTTACTTTTCATTGACTTGTGTTTCTCGATTCATTGATGAATTTATAGCTGAAGGATTCTAAACATGCTAATGCGGAACTAACATTTGTCTGTTGATGCCTTACACTAGGCCTTGGAATTTATCCCAACTTTGAGCGATTTATATCTTAAATTCTTGTACCAGTTTCATGATGAACCTGAACTTCACAATTTCAATATTGCTCGTGTTTCTTTTAAAATATGCATGTAATAATATCTATAAATGAGACTAAATAAGACATTTTTATCTATCTTGTCTTCTCGGTATCTGTATACCATACGTTTAGTTTTATTTTTGTTTAAATCAACACAGGAAACGAGTTTATTGTTTATATTACACACAGTATCTAAAACAACTCCATGACCATTATTTTGTATTTCACTTTATCCTTGTGTAAAGGAAACATTATATTAGAATATTTATTACTTTGAGACTAAAATAGATACTTTAACGTAGACTCGCATAGACAGACCGGTCTTGCTAAGATACCGGCAAACTAATATTTTGACACAGCAAGAGTTATTATCATACAGTTCGCATACAAGAAAAGAAAATTTTGGACACATGTCTCGTTTATTTTATGTAATGTATATTCTGTGGAACCTTGACGGAGTCCATAGCAGAATAGCGCTATCTGTTATAAACAGATAGCGCTATTTCCACAAGACATTTACGAGCGATGTGTACTTCCTAACTGTGCCAAAATATACCAACATGAATGTTCCGATACGTTGTTATACAATGTACGCAAATTAAATCACAATGTTCCTAATTAATCTCACCGTGACCCAATTAAACGATCGTTACAAATTTCTCCACTTTCTATGCTACTACATAAAATGTTCATTCACAAGTTTATTTTAGGAGGATGTGTGAAAAACACCGAACGATAACTCTGTGTACTAAACATGATCGTCACAATATCTAAACTCTGGCTCTCGTCCAAATAAAACAGCGGTAAAATTACTGACTACTATAATAAAATTTAAACTTGTACTCCCATGAGAGCCCTTCTAAATTCGCCATACAGCTGACCTATTTCGTGCTCAATCTGGAACGATACACTGCTGTTTTGCTTATTCGAGGGCAACGCTTTTATAATGGGATTTAGTGTTCGCTACTATGATTTATAAGTGCTATATTCTGCGTGCAAACCTATAAAACTACTTACAACACGCGGTGGTATCCAATACAGCGTATTTTCGGCCACCGACACCACCACACACTCTTATTTCGAAACCTTTTAGGAGCTTTTAACATTATGAAATAAACTATAAAACCAAGTGCTAATCAAAATGAGTTCGCGGGACTATTACAAAGTGTCTTATATGAACAAGGGAGCTGATCGCTCCAGGATCTCCTTGGACCATGATGTCCTCGATAACGACACGGAGTTCAACGCTAACCAGTTCAAACTGTACGATGACTTCACCACTGACCTTCGTATGGCCTTCAACCCGCTCAGGCGGAACTACCACGATATCACCAGGACTGATATGATGATGAGGAGGAGGGGAGACCCTAACGACTCTGGGGTCGATATGGAAAATGGGAACCCTTTAGAAGATGTATCAGCTTCTAACGATAGCGACCTGGTAAGTAAATTTAGGAGTCGTCTCGTCTTAGTCATATATTCAGTTCAGTTTTGTAGCTTGATGAAATGTTATTCAAACATGTGTATCAATTTATGGAAGCACTCCATTTGCTTTAAATCGTTAAGCGTGAAGTTTCTCTTACAACTCGTTACTTTTATCACGCTTGGCTTCAGTGTTAAATGGGTTTAATTTTAAAATTGGCTACAGCTCCGGCCGATACTTACTTTTGATATGTTTTATTTACATTCAGAATTATAACTTAAATGTTTTACTACATTTGTCCATTGTAGTGAATTCATAATTATGTGTATTGTGTTGTGTGGTCCCTTAATAAAAACAATGTCAACTATAAATAAAATAAACCAGCAAATTCCTGTGTCATGCAAATCTGTGTCGTCCGGTGCGACGCGCGTCCGATCGAACGCTACAAAGTACAATTAGTGATGGCAGGCGCCAGCCATTGTGGCGGACCGGACGGCAGCACCTCGTCTAGCCATTGTCCGGCGACCGGCCATCGGGAGCAGTAACTTGAGACAATGCTCTATGACACAATCATTAGATTTGGACACAGAAGGAAAAGACACTTTGTGGGGTCAAAGACATTAGTCAAGCTGAATCAAAGATGGAAACGGGCATTTAAGCGATTTTTGCAACAAAATTGGAAGTTTTATTTGCGGTTTACCTTATAAAAAGTGATAGAATAGCTTGAGACCAGAATTCAGTAGAAGATTTGTTCATTAATATATCCAATGCAGTTAAACAGATAGTTCATTGATTTTACGATGCTCAGTAGCGTGTTCTAAATTCATAGACTAATGTGTTACATTTCAATCCTGTCATATTCCCATTAAACTGACCCGATTCAATTATTTACACACATTTAGTTACATCTTACTTTGATGTAACTAACGATCCAGTGGGACCGGGTTGTTATGACAATATGACGTAAGCAGTAAGTCGGTAACTATCACACCGAACACTGTGACTCATTGTAATGTTATACGCATAAGCCCCATACGGGTGTCTATACGACTACGTGACACACAAACACAATGCGGTCCCCTATTCGTAGACCTTAATTAAGAATTACATATCTTTCCATCTGAAAACGTCATTCAATCAGCACGACAAACCTCGCTAAATAGATGTAAGTAAGCATATTTTCCTTCTAGTCAATTATTCATTTTTCCGTTAACTGCACATTATTGAAACGCATCACATTACGTATTCTGACTCCGTTATAACTCACCTTGTGGACTGTTAATGTAGTAACTGTAACGCTTAATATGAAGGTTCATTTAATAACTTCACACAATGTCGTTCCTGCCTAGTCACTCTGGTAATTAAGGATAATATCGCATGTAAAGTCTCGCCCTATACACGCGCGCTCATTTTTTCGAGCCAGGCTAACCGGTATTTTAACCCGTCCACAAATAAATTCAATCTTAAGTACGCCACGATTACGCTGCAACCCACTAGCCTTGACCATACGAGTAATTTAAGTGTTCTGCTCATTTTGGGCACCATTCGTCTTAGCTGATTACCTCACCACTAGGAGTCCTTAACCTTGACCTATTTGGCCTTAAACGACTTTCAATTAAGAATGCACTTTTCAATTTGTTTCAGTTGGAGAACGAAGTGATGGTAGATCCTTGGAGCAGCATGGACTCCTCGAATTCACCGTTAACTGACTCCGGACCATCGGCAAGTGAAGACTGCACCCCTTCCACTTCAAGTGAACCCCCTCGCGGGCCTCTAGACGCGACTTCCCCTCTATCGCCTGACTCGCGCCGCTTACCCGATCCAAAAGACACCAAAACCAAAATTGTCCCCAAACACATTCCCCAAAAGGCATCTGACAAGGCGCGCTCGCGAGACCTTACCCTTGAGCTAGAGACCTTAGAACCTGATCTCCTCTCACGCCGGCCACATTTTCTTGACGAAGATTATCAACCGCCGTCCAAGTCTAACATCGAATGCCGTATCCCTAAGCCACATTTCCTCGATCACTCACCATCGCCTGATGAATTCGACGAACGCAGTGATATTACAAACCCAAACTTTCTCGATGATGAAGTTGATGGCGATGAAAATGCACAAAAGAAGGCTGGAGCTCTGCCTAAACGACCACAGAAAAACCAGCCATCCACATACTCTAGTTCAGAAGATCGGCCGCACAGAACGAGTTACCGAAGCACTCTACATTATGGGTTAGAAAGTGCGGCTAGATCGAGTGAACGAGACAAAAGAGCTTCCCAACTCTACCGAGGGACCTGGCCAGGAGAACGCGATGTCTGGACAGGTCATGACTCCGCAAGCGTTCGCAGTTTCTCTAGTAACGGTTCCGCCGAAGGAACGAGACCTTCGTCTAATTTAGAAAATAAGATGGAATGCGTTTGTTCGTTGATTTCTCTTTTAAGCCTATCACCGGAAAACAACGCAGACTTGAGCGGCCCCTTACTGGAAATGAGCCGATCAGTTGAAAGTTGCATCGCAATGAGACAAGCCGGATGCATCCCGCTACTAGTTCAGTTAATACATTCGAAGGTCCCTAGAGAGACGCGAGACCGCGCAGCGAAAGCGCTTCGTAATATTATCCACACGCAGACTGACGACAAAGCAGGCAGAAGAGAAGCTAGAGTCTGGAGATTGTTAGAACAAGTCCGGGAATACTGCTATGTTTTAGAAGATCTCGTAGAAATGAGAAAAGAAGGAAAAGAAGTCATTGAAGATGATGTTACCAAGCATCCAAGTCAGAGCGTCGCAGCCCTCATGAAATTGTCATTTGATGAGGAGCACAGGCATGTGGTGTGTCAATTAGGAGGGCTGCAGGCGCTGGCTGCATTAGTCAGTGGGGACCAGGCGGCACACGGAAGCAGAACAGATGACAACACATGTTTGACCATGAGGAAATACGCTGGGATGACCTTAACGAACCTCACCTTCGGAGACGGAAACAACAAGTCCTTGTTGTGTTCATTCAAAGACTTCATGTTAGCTCTGGTCGAACAATTGGAATCACCCAACGACGATATGCGACAGGTACTTACTTTGTTATTTGAATTTTTACTAATTTATTAATTATCCTTATTGTTCCCATATTTAATGATGTTTTAACTACTTTTACAGGTAACAGCAGCAGTGCTGCGAAATCTCTCTTGGAGAGCGGATACCAACAGCAAACAAGTATTGAGAGAAGTAGGAGCTGTTAAAGGCCTCACTAAAGCTGCAATGACGTGTCAAAAGGAGGCCACTCTAAAATCTGTACTCTCGGCCCTCTGGAACCTGACAGCTCACTGCTCAATGAACAAAGTAGCCTTATGTTCCGTTGAAGGGGCACTGGGCTTCCTCGTTGATATGCTTAGTTACAATTCGCCTACAAAAACACTGGCGATAGTTGAGAACGCAGGTGGCATCATGAGGAACGTGTCGAGTCACATCGCTGTACGCGAAGATTACAGACAAATTCTCCGGGAGAGAAATTGTTTAAGTGTCTTGTTGCAGCACCTCAAGTCTCCGAGTCTCACTGTGGTCAGCAACTCGTGTGGCACGCTGTGGAACCTGTCTGCCAGGTGCCCGCAAGATCAACAATTCTTATGGGACCATGGCGCGGTACCCATGCTCAGAAGTCTCATTCACTCTAAGCATAAAATGATAGCGATGGGCTCCAGCGCAGCCCTCAAAAACTTGCTCAATTCCAAACCGGGTAAAACGCACATTATCTCACTAGACACAACAGCTAGAAACATGAATTTACCGGCGCTACCAACATTGGGTGCCAGGAAACAAAAAGCTTTGGAGCAAGAGTTGGATCAAAACTTGGCCGAAACTTGCGACAACATCGAACCGGCAACGTCTCCTACAACCAGTAACAGAGAAGAGAAGAATCTATTTACAGCCACGGAAAGACAAATAGCTATGAATTTGGAACGACATAGAATGACTTCCAGTTCACCTCTAATGGGGACATTGACGTCTCAGATATCCTTGAGTCATAGCGCACACCTAGCCAGCTACTTGAGCTGCAGTAACACTTTGCTGAAGGGAGCACTAGTCACTCGTTCAAATACAGGCAGTGCTGGCAACGTCAACAGATCAGAAAGCAAGGACAGCGTCACCAGCACTCACTCAGACTCGGTGTTTGAGCGAGTCATGCGCACTGGGAAAGTACCCGTACCGACACCTAGGAACAAAGACCTAATGAAGAGTGAAAACTCTGGTGAAACGTTTAAAGCGTCTTCGAAGCAACACAAAGACAGTTCTTTCCTTCGATATCCCACACAGCCTCCAATTCCTCCGCCAAGAAGTACTACTGAAATGAGAACAAACTACACAGAATCCGGTTTTGACGTCGACCAGGATTCTTGTGACCAACCAATTGACTACAGTAGGAAATACTCGGAGACGAAGAATACTGAATCTGAGGGAGACAAACCAAAGACTGATAACAAGAAGTATTCAAAGAAAGAAAGCGCAAACAGCACGTATGGTGATTATCAAGAGACTGATTTAGACCAGCCGACTGACTATTCGCTACGTTACGCTGAACACCAATCGGAGACTGGGTCTGACATGTCGGAACCAGCTGGTCCTTCGGTTCACGAAGACACTATTAAACACTTCGCTACAGAAGGCACTCCTTATGAAACACCGGCGATATTTTCCACCGCCACCTCAATGTCGGATCTTAGAGTGATCGGTAAGGACCATAAAAAAAGTGCCGCAACGGCTAAACCGAACCCTGAGGCGATGACGCATTCAGATGAAAAGGACACTTGTTCTATCGAAGATCCTCCGAACCACGACAACGACAGGGCAGCATCGACACCTCAAGCTGCATCCGTTCCAGAACCTATCCCGGAGAAGCAAGGACTATTCGATACCAAGTTTAGCTCTGGAATGATAAGCCCTGAGAAGCCAGTGAACTACTGTGACGAGGGAACACCAGGCTACTTCTCAAGAGTAAGCTCTTTGAGCAGTCTTGGTGAGCCAACCGAAGAAGACAGTCTGGCTAAGAAAAACGCAATGGCCACAATAAACGTGGAGCCGAGCCCTCCAGAACAGAGCACGAGCAGTTCTGCCAAGGACAAAGAAGGTAATCATTAATTATCATGTCAAATTAAATTAGTGACGTCAGAGGAATAACATTAGTCATTCATAAAATATCACCTGCTTCTGAACTTTCTCTTGATCCAATGCTTTATTCTTCTGATCTTCACAACGTCCTGTAGAAATACTTCAGTTTCTAACCCTTTGTGAATCTCTAGGTTCCAAAGCAGTGACTTTTGCGACGGAGCCAGTATCGGTGTGTGGTTCGGAGCCAGTGTCAGCGCGGGCCACGCCCCCCCCGCAGCGGTTCGTGGAGGACACGCCGCTGATGTTCTCCCGGTCCAGCTCGCTCGGCTCACTGCCTGAGTGCTCGCAGCAAGACGACCAGGGATCTGTCGTGTCGGAAATTAGGTGAAGAAATAGCTTTAAAAATCTTCCATTTTTTATTGAATAGGGCGGAACACCAATAAACATAAGTAATCGACGCTTCCCATAAAAATATACAACACACAAAAGAGTTTTCACACAAATATTTTTTCTTACCACAGCATGAATCTTCCCCATGAAAAATCTGTAATATTATATCCTGTGTACTTGTACTGTTCCAGCCGACTAACCTCAGGCTGTATATCTCCGAGTGAGATCCCAGACTCCCCCGGCGCCAGCGTGCCTCTGTCCCCGCGGACCAGGGCTGCACCCACGCAGGAGTTGTTAACTGCACTGTCCACGCCACCACAAGGTTAGATAATTATTTCAAGTCTCTAAAAGACCGTTTAAAAATAATTTCTCTAAAATCAATGACAATATGTATTGTGTTGCAAGTAAACTAAAACTCAAAGGACAGTTTTTGGTCTCGCGACAGCATGTTCTATTCCAAACTAATCAAAACATTTCGAACAACAAAAAAAGTTGACAGTAACAAAAAATTTCCCAAAGTTTGAGAAATTAATTACATGATGTTACTGGTACTTTTATTTGAAATCGGCGATTTATTCTTTAGAACCAGCATGCGTGGGATCGGTATTCGAAGAGCGTGTCTCCCGGTTCCTCGTGGAACATACTCCAGCGCAGTTCTCCGCAGCCACCAGCCTCAGTAGCCTGACCATCGATGATGAGCCTAAACTGCCGAAGGTTTGTCTCCATTGTTAAATATCATCAACATCAACGTCGTCGCTAAAGTGTGAAACAACATTCCTTTCTTGTAAAAAGTGACAAAAATATTGTATGAAATATTTTCTTTTCTTCCAGCAATCTCTAAAATTGTTACCAAGAGTTACCGATCAAGAAGACCTCGATTGTTCAGCTAGCAATAATCCCGAAGACAACAGAAATAGGTACAAGTTTACAATTTACATAAAAATCATTTTCTAATACTTTACTACAAACGAATAAACATTCAAATCATATTTTTTGTTACAGAGACGAACTGCGATCACTGCCGTCATCGAACCACGTGTTAAACGAGCCAATGAAAGGTAAATGTTTAAAACATAAACTCATGTTTTTAACCCATGGTTACAGTAAGTACAGAACACTACCAATAAAGGTCAGACGATCGCTTACTCATAAAATCTAATAATTTAGAAATTTTCTTATTCAGGCACTCAAACTCCAGGCGAGGTGTGCAAAGTATACTTCACTGAAGACACGCCCGCCATCTTGTCTAAAGCGGGCAGTAACTCCAACCTATCAGCGTTGTCCATTGACTCCGCCCCCGCCCCGCCCACTCACGACATACACGACGCTCACGACACCTCCGACAGCTCCAACTTAAGCGACGCTGGAGATTTACTGGAGGAGTGTATACAGAAGGGCATTGCTAAGGTACGTGATGTACAATATTACAGTTTACTAGAATCTCAACTAGTTTCAAGCCAGGCTTGGGGCCCATAGTCATGAAAAGCATCGCGCGACATACTAAAATAACCTGTAATCTATTAAATTTCTTTATTTCAAGTGTGTTTGTTCACAGGTGGTGAAGAATAAGGGCCCGCCATCAGAAGTATCTTCTATAAATCCTTACAGGGACGATGTTTATGTAAGTTTCGCATGATGATGATTGTATTGTAACAAGCCAACTATAATACATGATTATGTTTAAATGATGCCCTTTATGTTTTCAGAGGTCATTGCCGCCATACTTGCGGTCATCCACGGAGACAGTTAGAATGTCACATGAGTTTGCTAGAACAGTTCATGATAGGTGAGCTCTTATAAAATTATACCATATTATTTTTATTACTGTCTTGTCATATACTAACTACATGTTGTATGTCTCAGTGCATCGTGCAGTTCAGGCAGTCCCCCGCCCCCACTGCCACCCAAGGTGACGCAGTTGGCCGCTCCACCGCGACCTCCTGCACTAGAAGATGGTACGTACGCTATATAATTATATTCTCTAACTAAATATTTTCGTTGTATGAAGTGGTTCTCAAGTTTTTATGAATTAATAAATGATCAATATTTTAGGTCGCAAGTACGAAAGTCGCCTTCCAGTGAAAGCTACGGGTAACGGAAGAGAGCGACCGCGTCCCGCAGGCACTGCAGAGCTCGCTCGGAACGACTCGCTGTCCTCACTGAGTCTCGACTCCTTCGGGTCCACCGACAGGGAGATCTTCGAGGAGACCGTGCAGGCCGGCCTGTCCAGCGTCACCCCGCGCGCGCGCCCCGCCGACCACCGCGTGCGCGCGCACTCCG